CCTATCCATGACGTTGCTTGTAAGTCATTATCGATCACTTAACGATACGTCATTTGCGAGATGTTTCTGCCACTCATTTTTTCTTTTTCGATTTTCCATAAAATCATTAAATTTCTATGTCATATTCGTCGTATTATTAATCGCAATTTGAAAAAAGCTTTCAATGGTTTATGGCTTTCGAATAAATATTAACTTAATACATGTAGTTATATAGATATAACAGACACGGAAGAGTATTTTGACCTTACAAGTCTCAGTAGCCGGGCTAAGTTGCGACTATAAATTTGCTCTTGTCGATCGACGATTGAAGAACGCCACAACTTCGAAATCTTTAACATAGTCATTACTTACCGTACATGTACATAACTTTAATCCGTAATAACAACTTAACTGCTGTTTAAATGTTACTTCACTGATACGACATGAGTTGGTAGTAGCATTTTAAATTTAATGTTGGAAAAAAGTTTAAATTTATCACCAAATCGCTTATAAATAATTACGTAAAAGAAAGTACATTCATGGGGTACTGTCCGTATTTGATAAAGAAGTAATATTTTATTTCTTTAATTTTATTTTTTTCTCTTTCAATGTCTCTTTTCCTTTCATTTTATTATTTCTATTATTTCCCGAATTCGCGGTTTTACCGAACTCGCGAAGAAGGGAGTAGTCCTAACAGGAGGGAAACCCGTTGCATTGTTCGCAAAACACGTAATGCGGTGTAACGTTAACTTAACTTGACATGTGTAAATCCCTCGACGATTGCTCGAAAATTTGCGAGCGAGCGTGCGCGCGAGTGGCGCGTGCGAGGAAATGGGACAAAAAAATTGAGCGTGACGTTCCCGTTGACATTTCGTTTCGGTTTTGCGCGAAAAAGCGCGAACACGTCACGATGCCGTATGACGATCGTTTCTCTCTCTTTCTCATTCGCTCTCTCGATAAATGCTTACCCTTCTGTTCGGAAATTACTGCTTCTCGAGCAGGTCAACCACCTTTTTCGACAACTTTCCCAATAGGACGAGAAAAAATAAGACACAACCCTGCTTGATTGTTTACGCCATTCAAACTAAGTTCGTTTTTTTTCCAGTTCTCATGTAGGATGATTTTTTCCCGACTTTAGTTCTATCATTTGTCACAGAAACGATTGTTACACATTACCATTACGTTTATTTTCTTAATTTACATAATCGTTACATCGTTTAACTTTTATATGTTAGACAAGATTGTCACTTGAACTTTATTTTAATATTGAAAAGCCCACGATTAAATGAGTTTTACTCGGAAAATTTTATCAAACTTTTAAAAGCCACTTTTTGTTACTGTAGATAAACTGTGTGTAAAAATTTATTACATTTGGTTCAGCCTATTTGTTACAATAGTAGAAAAAATGTATATGTATACATATATTATATATAGAAATATACATTTAGAAAATATCACGATTCGTACGGAACTCAAAAAAAGAATTGAAAAATTCAACTCCTATCAAAAAAGTCATAGCGTGTGCGAACGATTTTCACGATGGAGATTACATAAAACAATACCGACAGTCAGTTGAAAAAGTAATAGCCACGTGTACGCTAGCACGTAATAGTAGTGAAAACGAGAAATGGTTGTTCACTATTTTTTCTAGTTTTTCGTTGGTTCGTTACAACCTCGTTAAATAAAAATGTCGTTAAAAGTTGGAGCGATCGAGATCGAAATAGTCGTAATGAAAAAACTTTGGTCAAACTACTTCGATATTTATTTAGCCTCGAAACTTCGATTTCTGTTTCATCCTTTTCTTGTTCTCTTTTCTTTTTTCCTTATAAGTCAAGGTCGATCTCATAGTCCTAAAGAGGGTTCTATCTGATTAAGGAGTAACAGCACGCGCTCCTAAAATCGACCCCGCCCGCTCCCACTTGGTCACCCCTTCGGGGGCTTGCGCGTGACCGTTTAACGATCCGCGGCCATCTTGGACGCATGGCGTCGGCCGGCGTCGGCCAGCGTCGGCGCCGACGCCGAAGCCGACGCCGACACCGACACCGACACGATGCTCGTCACGTCGCCCCAACAGCCTGCGGCTTATCCGGAAACTGCAAACGGATTTTCGTTCTTATCAGTCACAACAGATGGCGATGTTGGTTCTTATCCGGTTTACCAAAGATTTACGTGCTTTCGACTCGTTGATTAAGTTCGTCTTTGATCTTATCAGGATTTTTGAAAAATTCTTAAAATCCTTTTCAGCGTGTTTGTAACCGTAGAAAGTCTATGTAGAATTATCGAATAAATACTAGGATTCTTAAGGACATTCTAGATAAACCCAGCAATAAAGTTCGTTGTTCAGTGAAGATTACCAAAATATAATAGATGGACGTTGAAGAACTTGAAAAAGGAAATAAATTTTAGACCTATCCGCATTGCCAAGAGTCAAAACGTGAAATTATTAAGGAGATTGAGGAGTGATTTTAACTGCCTTCGGTAAAACAATAATTTCGACGATTAGTTATTATTTAAAATAAAAATTGTAGAGAAAAAGAAGAGTAAGGCGAACTCCTTCCGTTTATCGACCTAATTTTCTGCGAGGTTTAATTGCTCGAGAATGTGGTACGACCGTGAGCGAGGAAGAGGCAAGTTCAAGAGGCTTGAAAGTTTCGTGAGAGAAGGCAATTAGAAGGCAGTGACCTACCTCAAGGAGAAATTCGGATGGCCTTGGTGGACCAGCCCTTTGTCGATGAGGAAATCCTGTGGTCGAGATTCGGATCATGCGGCCAGGAAAAGGAAAACGTGATTAGAAAGAGAAATAAAGGAAGAGAGAAAGAGAGAGAGAGAGAGAGAGAGAGAGAAACGGGTAAACAGAAAAAGAGAAGGAGAAACGTTGCTAGAAAGGTAGAGGACATTTGGTTACTTCCGGTTCGCCTATTCGCCACACCATCCGGCACGAGGTGCATTCTCACGCTCATCTGCATAGCCGGGTACACATCAATATTCAGGCAGGCCGGAAAACGGGGACCGTTTTGCATACTGGATGGACCCCCCGCTCGTGCTGTTTCTCCTTCAACAGGGATCACAGTGGGACATCGTGAGCTAGATCCTGAGAAAAGAATCGTGGCTGATGCAGCGTAGAAATAGAATCGAGTTGTATCTATTAACGAATCCCAAGAAAACCATTACAATTTTATACCTTCTCTATGAACTTAGTTAGTTAATAATCTTCATGTTCATTTTCTTCATTAAATATTCAGGAGATTCTTTTTTTTATACTTATCTACTGTTAAACTTTTTAAAAAAAATCTTCGCGAAATTCAGTAGCTCGAAAATCGAATACGTATGAGTCAGATCGTAACATCGAAGAAAGCAACTTACGTAATTTAAATAATTCAGAAATGACTCCGACCGTGGTTGGATTATAAGCTGACCCGAAGATTATTTCCAATTACAATGGACCGTTGAACTTATAGGGTAAGACAGATAGCACGTCGTCGGGATTGCATATATTAAATCGTAGACATGATTTCGTGTGACAATTTTTTTTTAGCACCGATATTGATTCCTTCTATTTTACATTGTACGAAATACCAAAAAATCGATGTTAAGATTGATTCTTATTTGTAATTAATCAACCGTAGACACCAGCAGATTTAAGAACGATTAATATTTCTGATAAAAAGAAATTCCATCAAATTTGATCAATTTATGATTCATTTACATATAACGACGAAGAACTGAAAAAATTTATTTTTCCAGTTGATACGTGAAGAAAAAATAAAAAAAACAAGCGTTATTTTTCTTCTTCATTATGCAAGTACAAGTACTAGTGGAAGTATCTCGATTATAAAATTTCATCGAATCACGGAACATACGTATTTCGTGGCGTATAATGAATCGCAGTGGACACGTAACGCTCTTACCAATGCGAATTCATGCAAATTGTATAGGCATTACTTAACTAATAATTCAATCGTCAATTCGAGCGAAGCTTTCGATCACTTTCGAAAAAGCGAACGCGAATGAAGGGGTTGGAGGGTGGGATGCAGATGAGCTGACATAGTCGACCCCCAAAGCGGATGTTGGCAGTCTGCAGTTACGTAGACAATGGTCCCGTGCCATTATGTCCGACGAATCCTAAAACCCTATAGAGTCGTCCTTCTCTGTCTATTATCCGACTGGTGGCAGGCCACATTGTGTATCCGGCCTGCCACGAGACCTCGACCATTGTCGGGCCACGTAATTATTCGCAAATCTTCCGCTCGTTGCTGGTTCTCTCTCTTCCCTCTTCCTCCCCCTCATCCTCCCCCTCATCCTTCTCATTCTCTCTTTCTCCCTTCCTCTCTCTCTCTCTCTCTCTCTCCCTTTCTCTTTCTGTTTCTCTTTCTGTTTCTGTTTCTCTTTCTCTTTCTCTTTCTCTTTCTCTTTCTCTTTACCCCGTGAAAGTTTAACGCTTTTAGCTATCTCTTATTCTCCAACAGTTTTAAATTATTAAACAATTACGGGCCTAAAATAGAATTCCTTCTAGATTTAATTATTTCTTATTAATTAAGATTATTATCATTATATTAAATATAGCCACACATCGTAATAAACTTATTACAACATTTAATAGTAAGATAAATTCTATTTAGACTTTGTATTTAACAAACAACACAGGAAGCTTCAATAATGATTAAATAGCAAGTCGCATACATTAAGCTTGTTGCATATAAAGTAGGAAGAATGGAGTCGTCGCACGATAGAGGTGTAAAGAAAAAGCATTTAAATATTCGTACGTATATGCATATATATGTCTAGCTGTAATATAAAGTGTCTTTTACATGAAATACGAGTAAGTATAATTAGCAAAATATAGTATGAGTTTTATGAGACGTAAAAAATATAAATAATAATGTATCATTCGATTGGGCGAGCATTACGTGAAAAATCGTTACGAGTCAAGCGATTGCTAAAGCAAGTATAATGTATACGTTGTATATACAAAGCTCATTTGTAAGTTAAAAGTAACGATGATGATTCTTTTAATGACTCACCAAGGGATCATTTGTGTCGGCTTTTTCAAAATAGTAGATATCTCCCAGTTTTTCATAGAGATTTTTAACCAGTGGGTAGATGTCCTTGAATGGGTTCTTAGTGCTGAAGAAATCAAGATCGATATCTAGAATATATGGTGTGCCCTTCTCCTGTAAGTACTTTCGTAAGACAGCACTGATCGCACCAATATTATCCGCCTGAAAAGAAAAATAAATAAAAATTATATATCCATGTATTTACACAGAGTGTTAAAAAAAAGTTGTAATAAAGAAATAAAGTTATATTATGTGGGATTGGAGAAAATTTATAAGTAAAAGTGTAAATAAGTGAAAAGACGAGAAACGGTTGAAATAGAAATATTCAAGAATGACCATTGTCGAATATGTACGCTACAGTTTTTTTTGTTTTTTTTTTTTCAGTATTTCTAAGATAAGCAAAGACGTTTTCTTATAAGCTTAAAGATCTATTTCTAGAATAAGCGAAAATGTTTTTCTGTTAGGTAAAAATATAAGGAATGTCGTTTCCTATTAGTGTGGTATGAAGACACGAAAGAGTGTGTGTATACGTATGTGCGTACTCGTGACGTACGTGATCTTAAGCATACCAATCATGAAATCCGTTGCTACCCGCGATGATGCGAAGTGGAGATTTCTATCGAAAGGGTAGTTTAAGGTGAAGTACGCCCGAAGAAAAGAGACGATAGGCGGCAGGGGGAAATAATATCTAAATATAGGTAACGAAAAAAAAATACGATAAGTTAAGAAGAAGTTAAGAAGACATGTGATGCTAAAAGGTCAATACACGAAGTTACGTTAAGAAGTTAAGCTAAGAAGATACGTAAAGAAGTTAGTTAGTAATTTAGAAGCTAGGCAATAAAACGATTGTAAGTTAATTATAGACATTTCATCTTTTCTATACTTTCGAAGAAAAATTAATAAACACTTAATAAATAAACTATTAAGGGTTAATTAAAAATTACAAAAATCCTACAACTATGACATTGTCATTTAACAATAAGATTGTTCATTTTATTTTCGAACATTCCGTATAAATACTACATAGTCGTTCTCTAAACAAAATTAGAAACCGGTTTATTCGGAAATCGTTTCGTTTCTCAATGTCACGGTTCTATTCAATGTTAATTTACATAAAATTGCATTTTACGCACGATCATCGCGCCGTAAAAGAGTTTCTTTCATAGATATAGAAAAGAAATAAAAAGAAAAATGATTTCTATTATAGCGCGTTTCTCATCCTCGCCACAAATCTCGTCATAGATATGTAGGTTACGATTTTCTCGAATTTTATCGGTGGGATGAAGTGTAAAAAAAAAAAGAAAAAAATGAGGAGTGACGATAAAAGAGAAGAGAAAAAAAGGAAAAAAAAAAAATAAAAAAAAAAAGAGAGAGAGAAAAAAAATCGACAACGTACCTCTCGACGAGCATCCCTTCGCCACCCTTTCAGCCCAATTTACGAACTGAGTTGTACGCGAGGGATGCCGACGCGTGCGATAGAGAGAACATTGTTCGAGGCAGGCCAGAACCGCGATACAGACACGTATACCTATGTATATAGGCTGGACTTTTTGGTACGCGGAAAAAACAATGACTGCACTCGAATTAATCCTGTTAGAATTGATACTCGGTACGGGGAACTGGATCGCAATTTGCATGCGTTCACAACAATGAAATACACAAGGGCGAATTTCAGAGGTGATCGAGCAGGGAGGGAAGTAGGAAAGAGAGAATACGAACCTGGTTCAGGACTCGAAGGGATCGGAGGGGGATGAAAAAGTCAACGATCACCATATACAGAGGCTCTCATTGAAATTTTACAAAATCGTTTTCCTCTTTCTAAACATGCACGCAGATATATGTGTGCCCGATAAGTATCTTACTAATAAATAATTTATCGATAATGTATCGTAGTTTCCAATTATTATTGATGAAAGAAAAGAGAAAAGATATTTTTGAATATTTTTAAAGGTAGAATATACCATTTCCAAAAATGATCTTACGCCAATGGTGTTCATTTGCATTTACCTAACCTCAGCCTTGTCCCCTTTTTTCTATCGTAACCAAAAGAAAAAGACGACGGGAGCGAAGAGAAAGAAGATGGAGAAGAAGATGAAAAGAGGGAGGACGTAAGGGAACGAGGACGACGAAAGAGGAGCGTCAATTTTTGTTCTTTTTTCTTTGCCGCGACGACAATGTCCTTCCCGTCCCTTTGCTACGAAGCAAAGCTCTTTCTGACCAAAACCCGTTTCCCGTTTATGCGAACGAGCCGAGTAGGGTGATTCCAACTGGATGCGTGGAAGGATAAAAGGAGTTCGCGAAATTCTCAGTTCGATTTCTTACCAGAAGAGAGTCCTTGTTTCGCTTTATACAAAAAAATTTCAAGACCGAGAAAAGTCAATAGGTCTTTTTCACTATCCTTTTTTTTTAGAACATTTTTTCATTTTATATCGAGATTTCGAAGAGAGAAGAGGACAAATTCTAATTCATATTATAATTCAATAATAAATAGAAAGGAGGAAAAAATATGTATAGAAAGTTAAGAAGCAATACGACTGCATTGACGTTAATGAAATAGGATAGGTTTGACTTCTCGCAATCGATCGTACGAGTTCGATGGAAAAACGCGTGCTGCTTTTTGGAGATAAAATTATCGTAAAGGATGAAAGAGACCAGTAGTAATTATGTGCACGAAGGTGGAAACGGCGAAACGAATTTCTTTTGAATTCGACCCTCTATACCCGATGCGAATTTGTTGATGGTTCTTTTACGGCTTTAGGATATATCAGTGGAATTTTAAGTTTATCAGAGAACCGAAAGAAAGAGTATATATATTCAAAGAGTTTAACGAGAAACTAATCGTTATTTTTGAAGTTCAAGATCGAGGGTCTTAACTAAATACGATAAGTTAGAAGATAAATAATGATAGACAAGTTTGTAAAGCAATACGTCATAAACAACGAACAAAGGAAAATAAGTCGAACGGAACAAAGATCACCTTGGACAGCCACGTGACTTATAAATCGCGCAATTGCATCCTTATCTCCAAAGTAGCAAGTTATGACGGTACATTATGAGTTGCATTTAAATACGCAGTAATAGTCTCTAATGAGTCATAGGAAAATTGAGTAATCCTCTTTCCAGAGTATGTCGCAAATTGTGTCGGACGGAACAAAGGAAAAGTTTAATCGCTTACGGGTGTCTGCGTTTAAAACATAATATAAAAATCCGACGAATATCCTTTGACTTTGCATACGTCTGGGACTTTTATCTTGTTTTGTGTAAAACTCGAGTCGATTATATTCTTTATAATTTTTGCTAAAACTAGAAAAATATTGATATTAACAATACTCAGTGACACAAATATATGAATTTCGAACGATTTACGAGTGGCTAACAGAAAAGTTAGTCGATCGCATCAGTGGTCTGTTGTCGATTAAAGCATACATGGCCATATGCAAATAGCTTGTATTGTCTTGACCCGATATGCCGTCGATTATTGTGCTTTGCCGAACGACTACGAAGCGAAACGAAGCGTTTACTGCGAACCGAGTTGTTCTCGTCGATAATCATCGTCATCTTTGATACGTTTAATGGCGAAATTAATGCGCCGATTTGTAGATAGATGGAAACGTTAAAATTACGAACGGCGTTAAACGACAATGACGACGTAGGCGATGACGACGACAGATGCAAGCACGATAGAAGACTGAAGAGAAACGGTATTGTGCACTGCCGCGCTCACACGTACGTCGAATTAGTTTGCTGAATGGAACAAGAGAGAACAGTGGGCGCGTTAATTAAAACAATACCCTGTGGTGTGACCAGTTGCCACGAGAGAATTCGAATTTGGCGCGTGCACATGTCGAACTTTTGCCTCCTCCCTCCTCCCACCTCCCACCAATCCACCCCTCATTCTTTCTTTTTCGCGCGCAAATAGAAAGGTCCTACAGTGACAATGGCTTTCGGCGATCTCGGTGAGCTTTGGAGAAACGTTCGTGCGTACTTTCAATCGGGATTTGTCCCTGGGCCCGGAGATTAGAGACGCGACAGCGGACCCGTATAGTACGTCCTCTCGTAAACGTAAAAGCTATTCGATCCCTACGTTTCAAGCGAAACCGTTCAAAAGGTGTCTACTACTTTTTTCTTTCGTCTCGAGATTTAGTTCTCGATTAAACAAATAATCGTTTTATCTATCAAATTAGCATTGTTGTCTACCTTCGTTTATGAGTATGCATATTCCTTTTTTGTTTTCTCTTTTTTGTGACAATTCGACAGTAATATATGATTTATTTTGTTTATGTCTTTCTTCATATTATTTCGATAAATAATATTCGTTCAAAAAAGAAAATAATAATCATTAGCGGACACTTGAATAATTTGTTCGTTTTTATTCAAAAGAAAGGGCCCCAGAGGGTGGTTGGTCAAAGGGAAGGGCCAGGACGTTCAACCGCGTTCGCGAGCCAGCACGTTTTCTAGAAAGACCTTAAAGAGCCGCCCCGCTCAGTATGCAAGCTCGGTATGAGTGCATCCGGTGCACGAACGCGCAAGCTCGGAAACTCACGTTGCATTATGTATCCTGCTGTCGATACGAGGCAGCACGCGTCACTGCTGATGATAAGAATAGAATAATAGAATTTTCTATAAGCCTCGGCGCGACGAACGAGAAGAAGAAGAAGAAGAAGAAGAAGAAGATGCAAAAATCAAAGAAAAAACAGAGAAAGAAAGAGAAAGAGAGTTAGCAAAAGGAAGAAAATGCTAGGGACCCCTCTTCCGGTCTGTCCGATCGACGATTCGAGTCGAACGTCTTCGACTTTCTTACGGATTCGCGTATATCTCATCCAAGGATCTCTCGTCTCTCGACGATTATTTCATCCGTCCTTCTTTTTTCCTTCCTGGCACGGCCGGTGTCGCGATTTAAAATGGCGCCGCTTCGAGATTTCTGCGAGAAGATGAAACGAAATAAGAAGAAGATGGAAGAGAAATTGCGTTTGTCGTTCGATTTTTTCCAACGAACTCTGCTCGTTGTCGTCTGCGGTTGAGTATGAATGTGTGGAGGAGGAGGAGGAAAATACGAAATACATATATGTATACATCACGAAACGGGACAGAGAAAAAGGGAAATACTACTATTCATCGTGTAAACAAAATCTCTTGACGTCTATCATTAAACGTACTTTTTC